GAGCTCTGCTCCAACATGCTGCTGGAGTGCATTAATTAGCATGCTCCACCAGCCTGTGTCATGTGTATTTAGCATCCCTGCATTTCAAAATGGCAGCAGGGTTGCTTTAACTGAAGGTCAAACAAGCTTTAGTTAAAGCGCCCCTACTGCCATTATGAAGCACAGGTTGATGAATGCACATGATGCTGAGAGTGCTTTAATTACAGCAGCTCTAATTAAATGCCCCACCCTGGAGCACATGTATAGACACCCACTGCCTACACTAGCTTGGGGTAGGGGTGTTAAGAAATTCCGATGCCGTGATATAGTAGGAAGAGAGATAAAAACTTGGCACATGGTAACCACATCAGTACAGAGTTGTAAAGTGGCTAGACATTCTAAACCAGCAGATTTAGTATGCGGTGTATAATTGCTGAGGCAGTGAAGAGTCAAAGGCAATAAAAGTATTTGCTGATTAATGACATGTGTAATACACTTGGATCAAGGTGTAAAGTTCATCTCTTTATTTAGGTTTTGACTGAGAAAGTTGACATTGGATCTGGGGGTCTGTAGTCTAGATTGTCAGTTGGGATTATTTCCAAATAAAAAAAATCAAGTGTTTAATCCACACTCCCTTTATTACTTTGAAAATCTCCTCTTATGAGTTTGTTTATTCTCTTAAAGTTCTTCAGTCCAGTGGATGCCACTGAACAAATCGTAAGAAGTAATAAACTGTGGATGCAACAGGAGCACTTCCTAGGCAAGTTACTTAACCACTAGCCTACCAGAGAAAACATGGATGTTTCCTCCTTCTCCTACTCCTCTGTCAAGCAATTGTATAGAGCTATGAGGAGGCACATTGTTTGTCTCCATGTATAGAAATAAAGACTTAGACAGGGTTTATGTGCTTCCCAAATGGAACCGGACCATCAGGCCATAGCTGAATCAAGCTGTATCTGCATCTCAGCTGCATTCAGGACATCATTTTGGATTGCTCCTAAACATTAAAAGTAGCTCAAGTTCCTCATCAGGGAATCTTCACCAGCCAAAATGGAGATGCATAACAAACCTAGGCATTTTTGTGGCTGTTAAGGAAGGTAGAATATGGTTGCACTTGGTGACTTAGATACCTAAAAGCAGTGGAAGTGCTACTTCAATGTTCTGCAGGTGGAACATGATGTGAAGTTGCTGTCTCACCTGAAAGCATGGGAATTTTTTCCCCACCTGAACCTGAAGATGGTTACACAATAGTAAATCCTCACCGTACAGACAACCCCCGCTTAGCGCTCTTAATTGGTTCCTGAAAAAACAAGTGTTAAGTGAAACCAAAATATTTGACAACCCAAGATGGAGACTGCAGTTGTTTTTAATGACCTAAGATGGCAACCTCAAGCATTATAACAAAACTTGCTAAGTGCTAAGTGAAATCAGGTATCAATTTAAAATGAGTGTTATAGAGAAATAGCGCTAAGCAAAACCGCATTAAGTGGAGGTTGCCTGTACATTCATGCAGACTTGCTGAAAGCTATTGGTTTATCTAACACTGAACATTTCTTGTTTTAAATAGCTCTCTTTCACACTGCCCCTCTCAAGTTAAACCTGTATTTTACATAGTGCTTCTAAAAACAAATTTCTGGAGTGCAACCCAGAAACACAATAGAAACCTAAGTGGCATTTCCTACATTTGTGGTGAGTTATAAGAAACAACTTGAAGTACCCTTTCTTTACTCAGGTTGTTATTTCTGTAATTGCAGTGTTTGTTTATTGTCAAAGAACTTAGTACAACACATTTAGATGAAAAATATTGTTTATTTTTAAAGAACACAGTACAACATATTTAACATTTAATATTTAATGTGGAGCGAAGAAAAAGGCAAGCGTCAACATAATAATGACAATTGAACTGAATTCACTGCATCCAAAATGGAGTGGTACCAATTTGTTATCTGAGAAGCAAAGTAATCCCAGTCGATGGATGCCCCCAAAAAGGGGTCAAGGGAAAAATAACCCATCTATAATTTTCCTTGGGTGGTATTCAGTGATTTTGGAAGGTTTAGAGGAGATAGGACCAGCCATGCTCAAGTTATAAGTGAACATACATACATACACACACACACTTCATTTTATATATATAGATTACAAATCACACAATAGTTTATTACTTTACAATGCTTCTATTTTCCAATTCTGGTTCAGAATTTCAAGACATAACCAAGATAGAATTGTAGAGTATATTAAAGAGTAAGAAGTGAAACTTTTAGAACAGTAACAACTTTTTATGAATTAACGCTTTAAACTAGCTAGTTGGACAAGAACTGGAAACAGCTGAGAAAGACGGAGTAAATTTATATTTCAGTGTTCAAGGTTTTTCTTAAATGATTCAGGGCACTGTAAAGTTTTATATTAATTCAAAATTAATTGAATGGATTATTTTTGAAAGTGAGAGTTGTCTGTCTGGAATATAACCTCTCCAGTACTTAGTGCTGCGCATGTGTGAAATATGAAGACAGTACTAGAAATAAGTTAATAGTACAAAATAGGGATGTTTAGATAACACAGTATATCCTGTCAACTGACATGTGCTTTACTGGTTAGTTCTCAAGTATGTACTGGTGACTACTGAAGAGGATATTCTTAACATTCTCATCAGGACTCAAAGCCTAGATTTATCTCCTAATCCTACCAGCAACACATTTCAACAGCCACTTACAAATTCAGAGCCACTAGAGTCCATATCATTTCCCCAAACACACAGCTGTCTATTTTGGAGTCTACTCTTCCTGCACTACTATTTCAGATTGTTGCTTAACAAACAGCACCACTGTGCAAATTCATTATCTTTGATTCTTAGAACACTCTGTCAGAGCAATGTGCTCCATCAGTATACTTTGCCAGCATGGATAAAAAGCCAGCAGCTTGCCTGTAAGTTTGATGTTTCAAATCAATTAAACCAGTCATTGATTGTTAGGAGACAAGGCCACTAAATGTACTTGTTCCTAAGTGCTAAATCTACATCAGAGACACGCCTTCACATTTGATTCCTTCAAAGGAATCTTTCACCACTGCTCTGGAATTGTGAAGACATCCAAAGTTACTCTGACCCTTAGCACTTTAATAGTTGTAGCTTCCAGCCTTCCAGCTGAGGATATAAACACAACTGCCTTATCAATTAATCTGCTCCTTAACTGTCAAAAAGGATTACTGCTGTGACACTTGTTTCTCTCATTTTTCTATAACCACACAGTCCTTGGGGAAGTTATTTCTTTCTGGAATTTCCTGGCGTTCATAGCCCAGAGTGCGTCAGGGACAGCGGTGCCAACTCTGTGAAACTTATCAAACGCTGCGATTTCTGCCCCTGCTGTCCAAGGTCTTTCTGGAGGACTAAGCTGAGAGCAAATTACAAATTTTCATGTACTATGATGCCGAATATTGGGAAATTTCCAGCTTTTCCCTAAACCCAAATATTACAATAAATTACCTCTGTGCCCATTCCCAAGCCCAGAAATGAATTATACACCCACTCCCCCTCCTCCTACCCAGGTCAGATACTGCAGAGGTACAGGGGACACAGGTAGAAGCAGGCTCATTTTTCACGAGTGGGGGAGAGGGGTGAACAGATTTGCTGGGCTCCTTTTGCTCCCCGCTTCTCTCCAACCCCCTTTATGGGAAAGGTGTCTACATGCCCTGTAAATAAAACAGGCAACAAGAAGATACTTCCCTTCAAGACAATCTCACAGGAACAAAAAAAGGCAGGGCTTAGTAATATATTAGGGCCACGTCATATGGGGCACTTAGCACATGTTAAATGCACTTGAAACTCCAACATCTATGCCTTCAAGCAAGATAACAAGTGTTATATGAGCTCTTATCATATATTGTAGCAAAGTTACGCCTTTTGCAGTAAGGAGTGGCTCTAGATAGAAAATTCAGGTTGTAAGGGACCTCAGGAAGTCATCAAGTCCAAACCCCTGCTCAAAGCAGGACTATCTAACTAGATCATTCCAGGATGGAGATTCCACCTCCTCTCTAGGTAACCTGTTGCAGTGCTTCATCACCCTCCTAGTGAGAAAGTTTTTCCTAACATCCAACCTAAACTTCCCTTGCTGCAACTTGAGACCATTGCTCCTTCATCTGTCATCACTGAGAAGAGTCTAGCTCCATCCTCTTTATAACCACCCTTCAGGTAGTTAAAGGCTGCTATCAAATCCTTCCCACCCCCAGTCTTCTCTTCTGCAGACTAAATAAGCTCAGCTCCCTTAGCCTCTCCTCATAAATCATGTGCCCCAGAAATTCTAAAAGGTAGCAATTATTTAAACACCATAACATTTCTGTAACATACTTGACATACGGTAAAATCCAGAGCTGGATTTTGTCTCCAAGTGAATGTAAGGGCCCGATCACATGTTCACTCCTAACCGTTGCAAATCATTAGATTGCTATGATGTCTTAAAGTTTGTACCTGTTAGGGTGGTGTCACACATTTACTTGCAGCAGCTGAAAATCATTGGAATGTAATTATCAATCAAAATTAGTACCTGTTAGGAAATAACCCTTACCTGAAACCAACACTTGCACTTTAACTACTTAGTAAGCATTAAACTGAATGTGATGTCACCCTAATATGACAACTATACTACAACAGCACACAACTCAATCAAGGCATGGCTATATTTCGACTTCTATAGCTTAGGGGAAAAAGGCTTCAATTTATTACAGTGCATGCAAAATTAACAGGCCCCAATCCAGCAAGCATTTTGTGTGCACTTAACTTTATGTAAATGACTGGCCCCAATGAATTCAAAAGGAATATTTGAGTGCTTTAGCTAAACACAAGGGTAAACATTTGCAGGGGCCATAATTTTCTCAGTTTTACAGCCTCTTCCCCCACCCCTAACCTGTGAGCTAGTAGTTATGTGGATATCAACTGAACAAGAACTGCAGGCCATAGGTAAAGACAGTCTGAAAGAAAGGGCTAATTTTTGTAAGTCTTCAGATTTTAAAATGAAACATTAAAAACTCACCTTAAAAAGCGTCACAGTGATTTCAATGTTTTCTGGAACAGGCCATACAACCACACCCCGGTATGGATTTTTGATTCCAGGTTGCCAACTATGAGTCTGAAGGAAGATAAGAAACAAGTTGTCACACTCCATTATAAAAGGGCTGGTGTTACGATGCATATGTATACGTACTGCTCATTAGCTCCAAAAAGACAGCGTTCGTAAAACTATGATTCTATTAAACACAATATACAAGGCACAATTAAGAACAGAAGGAAGTAAATTTGCAATACTAATGGAAGTTATGCACTCAGACAAGACTCAGTCCCACACAATTCTCTGGCCCTGAACCCACAAAGTATTTAAGCACATTGCTTAGCTGAAGACCAGAAAGCTCAGCATCTTGAAGGATCAAGTCCATAAAAACAGGGAACAGAGATTTCTTAACATATCCAGATAGTGGAAATTGTTAGAAGTGGCTACTCGTTAGAAACCCAGTAAAAGACTTGGATCTTGTCTGCATTTAAACAAAAATTTGGACTGTGAACAGGTGCAAATTTAAAATACAACAATTATTCCTCAATAACAATGTACAAACAGTCTTATTCTGGATAAAAATGCTTTAGTCCAGATTATTTTAATCTACTCTGTGGAGCAGGGTCACTTATTCCTAAGTGTCTACTGTGGCACTGTCCTGGAACAACTATTTCTTGTGCACACAGACCCCATCTCTAAAAACTTGAATAAACATTCCAATACATGGGTAGCCACATATCTGGCATTGAAACAGGGAATACTGTGAAACATAAGCGTCAGAATCTGGTCAGTGAGGAGGAAAACTTTAGGTAACTGGAAATGAAAGTGAGGGACAGATGCTAATAAGAGCAATTGCTGAACAGCACGGCCATTCTTAAAGATCTGTTATTTCCATTTTGAGAAAAATTTACAATATAGGCATTGCTAATGGGAATTAAATGTACTGAGCAGATCACTGATTTAAGTATTCTTTTCAACACCCAGCACTACCATCCAGGACTATCTGTATTTACTCAAATACATGACAAAACTTTTTCCCCCCCAATTGGCATGGGGGAAAGAGCCTGCCACCTTATAATCACATAAGAAAATCTCACTAAATACACTGTCTATAATCAAACTGCTGCCAAATAGTACCATGTGCTCAGCAATGGAAACCAACTATGAAGTAGATTAAATGCAGCTGACACTGAGCATGACTACAAAACACATGGCCTACATTGGGCAAACATGCAGATGGGAACCTACCACAAGGATAGATTAGTGTAGCGCATCTGAAAAAGATGTATGGTGGGACCTATTAAGCACAGTCTTGGTCACCGACTCTTTCAAGTCAAGGTAAACTGCATACGTTTTGACAACTTCTTCACTCCCACAGCTGAGCTACACCTTTCTTCCCTATTATCAATTATTCCCATTTCTTCACCAACCGTAAATGCCTGGCAAACGTCCCCAACCAGTTCACCCAGAATCCCTCTGACAACCCCCTCTCTGAGCCTGGCATATATGATTAGTGTGGCCCCACCCTCCATGAGGCGGAACTGGACCAAGTTGCCCTGGCCTCTGCATATGCATTTTTTGAGCATCATAGGACTCATGACACGAACACCAAGTTCCAGTCATGAGTAGGGGGCTAACTAGCACATAGATTAGGGATAGGCAACGTTTTTGGCCGCATTGCCAAAACCCCCCACAATATGTACCTTGTAAGGTGCCAGAGTGCTGGCATGCCACCGAAAGAAAACCAGACCAGGGGATATATGGCAGGACATACTGCATATTAATATAGTTAATCATAAACATTGCTTTTTTTTTTTTTTAAGGGTCAATACTGGGTTTTCTAAAAATTCGAAACCTGATGACTTTAAATAAAACTTCAGCTACTACCTTTGTTTTTGTGTATTTTTTTTGTTAATTATGTTGCAATAAGAGAGAGAAAAAAAGAAGAGAAAAAGAGGAGAGATAAAGAAAGGAAAAGAGTAAAAAAAGAGAAAAAGAAAAAAGTGAAAAAGGAGAGGAGA